GGCATCAGTGTTTCAAACTTCACATGTGTAATCTTTGTGACAAGACCCTCCTTTGGATACCAACACCTTTGACCTTAGAGTTTGACCTACTTTTGAAAAACTTTAACCTTTTCCATATCTTTTCAATGGTTGCTGCTAGGGCTTTCATATTTCACAGGTATATTCCTCGGTACAAGTACACTTTGGGTACGGTACCATCATATTTGATTTGCATTTGAGAAAGTTTAACCTCCTCTATAAGTTGCCATACATGGGCATCAGTGTTTCACAAACACATCTTGTTTCTTAATTCTTTTTAAAAAGATTACAAACATTTTCAAATATTTAAGGAATAACTGTCTAACTTTTTGGATTCATGATGTGATCAATCGAGTGGCTTGCGTGATAATTTGCATAAACGCCGAAGGCATAAAATTATCACGCAAGCCAATCGATTGATCATCGTCATGAATCCAAAAAATCTGACAGTTATTCCTTATATTTACATGCTCCTGATTCTGCAAATTCCCGTGCTAATAGCCCCGCTTCTGTCTCTATTTGTCCCGCCCCGCACGTGATTTTTTTTGTAACCGCGCCTATCGATGAACCAGTAGATTTATGTAGAAATAAAGTATTTTTACAATTTGTAATTTTATCTCGGACAAAGACATTGGAAATGTAAATATAAACAAAGGCCTTAACAAGTTTAATACAACCCTGTAAAGGGGTCCATGGATATAAATAAAACAAAATAATCTGATAGATGAAGATGTGTATTGCCCAAAAACAAGAGAAATGGGACAATCATGGAGCAAGACATCTTCGCTGTAAAGGGGTCCATGGATATAAATAAAACAAAATAATCTGATAGATGAAGATGTGTATTGCCCAAAAACAAGAGAAATGGGACAATCATGGAGCAAGAAATTGTCTTGTATTCAGCAACAACTCAAGATTTATTTACTTGCCTGTAGTTGCCAATGCTATTGCAAGAAAATTGTCTTGTATTCAGCAACATCTCAAGATTTATTTACTTGCCTGTAGTTGCCAATGCTATTGCACTTCCCTTTGTCACGTTCTCCAGACTAAACAACACAACTTAGCTTGAGCATAAAACTGTATGCATAGAGTAAACTCAGCAACCCCCCACCAAAAAAAAACTGGCATCCTTTGGCTCTTGGTATTAAAATACAATAATGTACAAATATAATGTATTCTGCCTCATTATTATCTATTATTTACAAGTTTACCTGCCAAAAACTATAATTTTCAAATTTCAGATCAACATTTCTCGTTTCTTCTCTTTTCTTTCACTATCAGTGTGTATATTCCTTTCTTTTAATGTGTAGGCTGATGTGAAGTCAAAAACTCTACCTGGCGCGAAGTGCCAGTTCTAAAAGGGTTCACCCCTCTTGACCCCCCTTTCATAAAAAAAAAAAAAATAAAATAGGGGAAAAATTAGCCGATTTATGTTTTGATAAAAAAAAAAAAAGGTTGTGCTTGCTATTAATATTATGGATCAGTGAATATAGAATGAGAATCATAAACATATTTTTAGCAATCATGAAAATAGGATCGTCATGACCACTTACCAAAACTAGAAATCTGACCAGTCAGCAAGGGCCCCGCTGAGGGGTAGAAATATACAAGGGTGCAGATAAGGGGATGAGAATTTTACTTGATTACACAAATTTAAAAATATATAAAGAAGAATAAGCAACAGCAACTGCTAAATATCCAACAACCTGTAAACAGTATCCTTGAATTTACATAAGGCAGTAAAAAAACATCATATCTATAATAACTCAATTAAATGTATATTTAAAGAAGAATGAAGCATGTGTTTTCTGAAATGCCAGCCTTCAGTGAATGCAAATATCACCCAGGCTTGACCTTAACTTCAAAACAAACATCAGTTGCAGACAAAGGTGTTAATTAATCTTAAAGTGACAGAAAGATAACCCTCTAAAATCTTCTGCAAGCAGCAAGATAAACAATCCCAGGGGATTAATTATACTGCTCTCTCAACCTTTTCTTCTAAGTTTACAATAAGAAATTTTTCAGCAATGATAGATTAAGGTTATTATCTGAATACCTGTTAAAATAAATAGTATGCTTGAATTTACATAAGGCAGAAAAAAGAAAGAAAAAATAATAATAAAAAAATAATAATAATAATAAAAAAAGATATCTCTATCTATATCTTGTTTTTAGAATTCAATAAAATCACAACTCATTGTGTATTTTACCAAAATAAAGTATGAACATTATTTAAATCCACATTTTAGGGAATGTAAACATCATTCAGAATTGACCTTAACTTCAAAACAAACTTCATTTGCAGACAGAAGTGTTAATTAATCTCAATGTGGCAGATAAAGATAAATGCTTTGGGTTTTCTTCAAGAGGAAAGTTAATTAATCCCAAGAGACTCATTGCAGCCTTTCCTAGTTTACAATAGGAACATTCTCAGCAGTTATCTCTCTTTGCCAATTCACTCTTATATATAAAGTTAAGGAAT